CAACATTTAACTAATAAATATGTCAACCTTTTTCTTGAGACAATGCAAAGATAGACTTACACTACTTACAAACTAAACGATCCAAGTAGTATTACAATAAAATTTTTCTGACAAATTCCACCTCATCCAAAAAATTAACCAATGATCATTGTACAACGTTTAACATTAATTCGACGTGTCCAATATTTTCCTTTCTAAATCTTTAGAAATAGAAATAGAAATAGAAATAATAGAAAATTCAACAGCTAGATTTGTTAAACGAAATCAAGAAAGGTGTCTAAGGGGTGGGGGTTGGCTGAGAATGGGGGTTGGGTAATGCTCGTTTGACTCGATGGCTTTCGTGGTGAAAGGCAGATAAATGAGCCTTGATATTCTTCAACTCGGCAGCCGAATTCAATAGCGAAACGAAGCGAGGTAACCGTTAAGTTCGAAAGCGTAGGGTGGGGTTGGTTTGGTTGGTTGATAAAAGGGAGAAAAAGAGACAGAGAGAGAGAGAGAGAGAGAGAGAAAGAGAGATGGATATAGTAAAGGGTGTCGGCGGTTGCTCGCCCGTCCCACGAGGGAAAACAGGGCTAAAAGAGAGGGGGTTGGTAATCGTCCTTGCCCTGGTTGCCGTTGTAGCTGCCAACTGAGAGAGACGGGGGTTGCTTGGTTTATCATCCCCTGTCCTTCCTACCTCTTTTACACACACACACATTACACACATACATCAGTGCGCTCGCGCTTACTCACGCACGACAATACTTTTCCTTCTTCCTTTTTCTAATGTAATTCTTTTTCTCACTCACTCTTATTGTTTTATTCTCTTTCACACTTATTATTTTTTTTTCTTTTTTTTAGTTTCTTTCCTAGAAAATGATTTCATCTTTTCTTTCTTATTTTTCCCTTTTCTATTTTTCTCATTTTTTTTTTTTTTCATCTATTTGTTAAGCTAACACGTTTGTTTGGTTTTCCTACTCCTACCACACCAAACACACCACCTTCCCTTCTCTCCTGTTAGCTTGAAAACTGCTGTTATATTTATCTTTCCATTTTTTTCTCTCATATTTTACTTTATATCATCTTTTTATTGTTGTTGTTGTTGTTAGTATTTCTCACATTCGCTCGTTAATAGTATTATTTGTATATTTTTAATATTGACTTACATTTAACACCTTATGCGCCACGTCAGTCATCGGTGACTAACATTAGACTTTACGTTTAGGCCATGTCAGTCACAAATGACTGACACTTTCGATTATTTTCAATACAAAGTAACCCCCTGTGGCCTGACGGGAATTACGATGAGTCACACTCAACATCGAGTCATAAGTAACTTCCGTTTTTTTTTTTTTTATGAGACTAAGAATGGCAATTCTGCGACTGATAAGTGCACGATGTCTTTTCATGGAGTTTTGTGTTTTTTTTTTTGTACTCTTTGCATCCGTTGGACGTATCCATTGGATTTTGTTTCCAATATTACCTTTAAAAGGGTTCGATCAAAGTCGGAAAGACGTCCCTGCACTCGGTTCGTCTTTTTAAGCTCGTATCTCCACAACGGCAATTTTACAAACCAATATTCTGACAGTCCTATCAGTTATCAAGTCCTGCACCGTATTCGCTGCATATTTTTACAGTTGCCACTTTAGTGGCATTGGCCTTGTTTCAATTCTTAAAGCATTTCATGTCGAATATGCACTTTTTTTACTATCCATTTTGAGAGGTTAAGAAAAATGGGTTAAATGTAACATTGATTACATCGAAAAAAGTTGACAGAAGACTAAACTGAATCCTCATTTATACAGTGATATCAAAAATGTGGTTGTTTTGGTTACTTATAGTAGATAAATACGAAAAATAGATACGGAAGTTACTTATGACTTGATCTAATAGTTTGAAAGTCCCTCTGATACATACGTTTGAACTTTTTCGTTACAGGTGTCGGATATATCCGGCAGCTACGATCAAAACTAAATTTACAGTTGGTAAAATTCGATTCTAGTTTACAGGAGTATTAGATGAGGATGATTTTGCAAATATGCATAAAACACTTTGGATTATTCGAGTTTTAGGTTCCTCTGATATTAACGTTTGAACTTTTTCGGTACAGGTGTCGGATATATTCGGCAGCTACGATCAAAACTACATATGCAGTTGGTAAAATTCTATTCTATTTAACCGTTGTATTAAATTGCGAATCATATTGAAAATAATATTTTGTAAATAATATGCATAAAAAAACAGCTTGGATTCTTCGATTTGTGAACAATCTGTTTGTATCTGCATTGATATTTGTTAAACTTAAACAAATCTTTTGTATGCAATAGAATGAATTTTATTAGTGAATGAATTATTTGTGTATAACACGAGTGATTGATGATTTGTTATCTGGGTAATGTAAAAAAAAAAATTGATATATTGTTTATTTATGCATACTTAACTTAGTCTCTCTCTTCTTTCTCACTGTCTTTTCAAACTCTTTCTTCTTCTTGTTCTTGTTCTTCTTCTTCTTCTTCTTTTTCCACTCGGCAAGTTTTAATGTTGGCACGTTTCTAAAGCTCCAGTTATGTCAAAGGAAAGTATCTCAGTAGCAAGCAAGCAAGCAAGCAAGCAAGTAACACAGTGTACAACAAACACATAGCTTTTGTGTTTAGAAGATATAAGCTTGGCACTTGCGTTTATTATACCCACATATAGCCTATGAGAAATAAAGACAAAAAAAAAATGTAGAGAGAGAAAGAGAGAGAAAAAGAAAGAAAGAGAGAGAGAGAGAGAGAGAGAGTAAAGGAAAAGAAGAGTAAAAAAAAAGTGATAAAAAAAAATAGAAATATGAAACGTTACTTTTTCAATCAAAGGATTTCAATCAAAAGGGAAAAAGGAACTTCAATGTTTCAATGGGTGCGCGCTGGGTCTTAAACGTCAAATGAAATAATCCAATGTAATATCACCAGTTAAACTCATCAATTTTTTTTTTTAGAATTAAAACAAAACAAAAAACAAAAATAATAAAAACAGAAGTTTTCATTTTAAAAACAAAGAACAATCAGATTTTCATTTCTATTGGTGAGTGGGGTTGGTGATTCTCGTATTACTATGAACACTAGTAGTATAACTGTATAACTGTATAAACTGTATTGTATGCACATATGACGAATGATATAAAAAGAATTTTTATTCTTTTTGTATTTTCCCCTTTTTTTCCCCTTCTTTCCCTCCCCCCCTCCCCTTTATTTCTGTCCTTTCCCTTCCTTTGACTATTTCCTTGCACATGCGTACGAGATGACATTAATTTAGCCTCGTAGCAATGTATAAATATTAGAAAGGTACCTTTTTAGAATAACCGACTGATATCTCTTCCTTCCTTCCTTCCTTCCTTCTTTCTCTCTCACTCACTCACTCTCACTCACTCTCTCTCTCTTTCTCTCTTTCTCTCTTTCTCTCTTTCTAACACATATACACACTCACCCTTCTTTCCCTTGTCGAGAGAACATAATATTAATGACGTGAACTGGAAACCGTGTCGCA